ATTACCGAAACCCGTTAAAATGTTGTTTTCAAACGTATTTACATTAGTAATATATGATAAAATAAAACAGTATAAGTACCTACAAAACTTCAGCAATAAAATAAATTTTTGCTAAAAATCTTCCAGCCGAATAATTTAAAAATAAAAAATAAAATAATACAAAAGTGAGATTAAAGTTATTAATCACAAAAAATTGTGTTAAGTTTTATTAAAAATAATCCAATGTAAATAAGTAATTAGGGCTGATTAATAAATATCAACAAAAACTTTAAACAAAAAAGGAAAACAGTTGGTAAAAAAAACAAAACCTATTAGATGACTTGTTAATTCAAAACTATTAAATTGTTTTTAAAAAAGATATTTGAAATCGAGCTGGGTGCTGTTGAGAGTATTCTCAACAGCACCCAGCGGGCATTTCTTTTTAAAAGTTACGTTCTAAATGTATTTTAAATGTCTTTTAAACGCCTTTTAAACATTCTTACGTAAAGAACGTTTGAAAGACGTTTAAAAAACGTTTAAAAGACATTTAAAACGTAACTTTAAAAAACAAATGCCCGTAGAGCAGGTTCAATTAAAACAAAAAGGAGAACAAGATTAAATTTTGAAACATACAATTCACTTTTATTTTTAAAATAAATGTTTTTAGAAAAAAGATATTTAAAAGAATAATAGAATCATTCAAGATAAATTATTAAAAGTTTTCTTATAGAAGAGTATACTTTAGAGTATTTAGTATCAGTATGAGTATACTTTAGAGTATTTAGTATCAGAGTACTTTAGAGTAATTATTAGAGTATATTTTAGAGTATACAAGTCTTATTAGTGGTTTCTATTAAATTAATTTTCATTTCTTATTTAATTATGACTTTGAGAAATTTTTGTTCTTAATACTATTTTGTTTGTTTCATTTAAATATGCAATCTCTTTTTGTAAAATATTGATGTACGTTATTTATAAAAACTTTAATATATTTTACGATGTTATGAAAAACATTTTGTTTATTTTTTTTATTTTAAATTACGATACACAATCCATAACGGGAACTTTGTCATTTTCATTATTTAATTATATTATTTTATTTTTAACTTATTAACTTATTTTTAACTCTTATAATTGTTTTATGACTTGCTTAATTTTTAACTACTTTCAATTGTTTTTTTTTATTTTTTTATGTTTCGGATTTTTTGAAGCGTTTTTAATGGGGCTTGGTGATAAGGCTAATTTATACCTTTTTCTTGCTCCAGCCAATTATTCTATTTTGTTTTATTATTGAACATTTTAAATCTTTTTTGTACGACGAAATAAATAAATGATTATTATTCTTTATTTTTATTAATACGTCATTTGGCTTTTGATAAACTATACAAATGTTCAAGTATTAAAATGTTTTCATATTTTTTTTTATTCAATATTTGAATAGTTGAAAAGCAAGTAGTTGGATGGTATAATTACTAGAAGTAGTCGTAGACTGAATTTTATTTCATCTTCATAGAAACTGAAAAATTTCATAAAAAAGGATAAAAGAAATTTATTTGCCTCAGGTATTCATTACCGGTGCAACAAAAAAACAACTGTTCTTCATGTCTTTAATTATTGTTGTTAACAAGTGCTGTTAGCTTTATTCTGTTGTTAACAGTTGTGCTAAAATGATGTTGATGATAATACAAAACTTTTTTGAAAAAGATATTGTTTTTTGTAATGAACTATCTTTATTAGTAAATAAACTGAACAAAAAATGATTTTTTGTCCAGTTCAATACTAATAATGGATTTGACAATAATTACAAAAATTACGTTTGTAATTATTGACAAATCCAATTTTTTAACTATATAGTGTCATTAAGTTAGATTTTTTTATGCTGCACCCGTTTCTATTATTAGAAGTCTGGAATCTTTGAATGTCATGAACGTGTTTGATCAATCAGGTTTTCAACCAAGGAACCAGAAGTAAACCGGGATCAACAAGGTGATAATAAAATGTAGATTAAAATCATTTATTTGAAAAAAAATTTTTAACTTCATTCCGTTGAAACCTTTAAACTTGAACTTATCAAAATTATTCTTGATTATCAGAAAGTATTTAATTTTTATATGTTGACTAAAGATCCATCGTAAATTTTTATGAAGTAAGTCTTAGTTTTTTAAAAAAATATTGTATCGGTAGGAAATGCTCATGTTGCTATTGTTGAGTTAATTAACGAGAAAAGAGTTTCTTAAGACTTTAAATTACTGGCAAATGAATTCGGAAAGTACCACCCAGACAATTTTCCACAAGGTGGAAAATCTTCTAACAACTAGCTAACGGCAACTTAATGCAATAGAGATTTTTCCTAGATAGTTGCTAGTTTTTCTACCTAGCAATCGATAAAGATTTCTAAGAAAATATTTTAGAAGAAAAAATGTGCATTATATTATTTTTTTTATATTATTTTTTTATATTTATGCTATAGTACTACACTATTTTTATTATAACATTTTTATTATAACATTTTTATTATAATATTTTTATTATAACATTTTTATTATAACATTTTTATTATAACATTTTTATTATAACATACGGTGATTAACTTATTTAACCATTACAGTCGCAGACGTCTCTCGTCTTTGTAAATCAACTTTAATGAACCAGGTGATGCGGAGTCCCAAAAAAACTCCACATTATAACACCTGAGTCCCAAAAGAGCTCCGGTTTTATATCTCTATTTTGTCCTAGTCTCTGGTGTCCAGAAGCTTTAATCATGTTGAATGACTTATAATCTCCAATAAGAAAAATATTTGCGAGAGGTAATGGCATAGAACTTATTGTTTTTAAATCTGCCATTATACCTAAAGTCTCCGGGTTTAATGACTGATTGTTACTCAGACCTAAATATCCAAATTTTTTAATAATTTTTTCCCATTAATAGCCCATAAGCTTTTTTATATTATTACAGGTTCTGGATACACAAAACTAGGAAAAAGTAACATTTTTGTGAATTTCAAATCCAGAGTCTTTTTTGGGACTCCCACTCCAGATATGAGCGCCATATTTCTATTTTTATAATCTAAACTTTTTTCATATTTTGCTTGTTAGATTTTTTTTTTTTCTAATTATTTATTTGATAGCTACATATCGCAACTTTGTAGCTATCAAAATAATTGTTTTAGATAAAACAATTATTTTGATAGCTACAAAGCTGCGATATGTAGCTATCAAATAAATACAATATTAAAATAAAAAAAAAATAAAAATAAATATCTTGATAGCATGATGTAAAAACGACATGATTTACGAAATGTAAAAGCGTCATGTCGTAATAAAATCGCAATGTAAGTTCAAATATAATCATAAATATATTCGATTCAATACTGATAATAGATAGCAAATACTTGTTAAGTACTTACGAATAAATTTTGAAAATCGGTTATTAAAGAATTTTAGAACCATCTCATTTTTGATATTTTAACATGAATAACAAGTTTTTAACTCAAAGACATTAAGAGTCTTAATTTTTGGAATAACGGCTTGGAATGTGCTTATTTATGCACATTAAACTCTGCTAGCTTTTTTATTTGGGCAAGTACTTGCCAAAAAAAAGTTTTACTGATATTTAAAGAAAGTTTGTTTTATTTGAACTAGTCATTAAATTTTTCTAGCTTACAATTTATTGTAGAGAAAACTGTTTTTGTATTAAAACGGGTATAAAAAGAGTTAAAGTCATCAGCGAAAAGAACAAAATTAAGCATGTTTGAAGATAGGTAAATATCAGTTAAATAAATCAGAAACAGTTAAGGTTATCATTTCAATAGACCCATTTTTTATATTTTTGGACCCACAAGTGTTTTAAGATTTTCGAACGAAATATTACTTCATTCTTCAATCGAATTTCTAGAATGTAATGAAACAATGTGCAGCCGTGGCGCAGTGGTAGCGCACTTGCTTCAGAAACGTAGGATCCGTGGTTAAAACCCCACCTCTGAGCAACTTTCTATTAATTCTTGGGGCACCTTAATTAATTAATTAAAAAAAAAAAATTTTCAATTTACACAGGTAAGGGACATGTGAACAAAACCAAAGTCTACATAACGTCAAGAGCCACAAATACCTTTTTAAAATTGTTAATTTTAGCAAGTTATTACAAGGGTAGCCTTCGTATGTTAATGCAATATACAGTTTTGAGATGAAACTTATTAATAACAAACTTCTTTATAATAAATCAATGTGGTTTACAAATTCTCTATTCACTATTCTCCAAGTAACACATCAAACACATTGCCGACTGTTTTAAAGATTCTCAATTCACACTTGGTATATTCATTGATTGATGATTGATGCACTTGGTTTATTTTTTGATTTTTTAAAATCTTTTGATACTCTTAATCACCATATTTTTCTCTTTAGAAAAAACCTTATTATATATCACCAAAAAACAATTTAACATGTTTCCAGTTTATATACAAAATCACACAAAAAAGTTATTGTATCACTAATATTTATAAAATACCTAAAGAAAATTAAAAATCATAATACGCTTATGCGCTTGACAGTGGGTTGAAATAATTAATTTAATAAAAAGTGTGGTTTATAATACAAAGTGCTGGATATTATTCTATACTTTAAAAAAATATATGCAAGTTTGCCACACCTGGGATGCTAGGGACTTGCTCGTAGTTATCGTTGAGCACTTGCTTCAGAATCAATTAGCCAGAGCTTTGATGTTAACTCTGGCTACATTTGCGAACTGTAAGGAATTAACTAACGATTCGTTAAGTTTAACGGAGAGACGAGAATACGAACCCAGGGTGTTTGTGGAAAGCTATATTTTATAGTAATAAACCAATTTAAATATTTATGAATAACAATAGTAACAATGGCGATAATTTGACACTTGTAATTAGATGTAAAAACACTTGTAATAAGATGTATAAAAAAAAAACAATAATAATTTTTATATATATATATATATATATATCTATATAAAAAATGTCTACGAAATCTATACAAATAATACAAAACTATTTAAAATCGTATTCATTGTAAACTTTAATAAATTACTTTTTGAAATATTCTACAAAGGATTATCAATCACGTGCACTATTCCAGAGTGTGAAATTAGGTCAAGTGTAGATATTGGAAATCCGTTTACTGTAATTTTATCGCCACTATGGTGTATTTTCACAGTAGAACCATCAACAGCAGTCAACATTGCATTGTTGTGTAACATGTGAGAAAAATGAAGTCCAGAAACTGTATGGCGGCGTATGAAATTTCTGATCTTTTCAGAACTATTAAGTTCTGAAATATAATCTTTATTTATGTTTGTGTCAGCAACTACGAAGTAAGTGTGAGGAGAATTCTTTAACTCAGGTAGTAACATGGACTCCTTTAACGCTTTCGTAAATATAGTAAAACTGTTGCGTTTTTCAAGGAGCGAAATTATATCACGGTCAGGAGGTAGCATGAAATTATCAACAACATGTATTACTCCACCAAGAGCTTCAATATTGTATAGTACTATTTTATTGGTTACTGAACCACTTAAAGTAGATAACTGTAAATATTAAAATAATTTTTATAATATAAGCTAATAAATAAATTTAAAAAAATAAACAAACATATATTACTGGGACCCCCTAAATGTGCTTTGTATAATGAAATAGCACAGAGTTTTTTTTTTTTTAGGTGTGAACGCTAATTTTACTTTTTATGTTTGTCTATAACCTTATCTAATAAATCTCATCAGAATATTTATTTATTTTAAATTTTATATACCTGGTCAAACTTGTTAAAATATATTATCTCTGCATTATTCATTGATTTTAATATGTCGTTATTTTTGAGATTTGTTACATAGTTTTTTCCTACAATCATATGGTATTTAAGCATTTGAACAAGTGAACAAGCGCTATTTTTTTTTATATCGATGGAATCAGGAATATTAGATATTGACAAAGGAACAATCAATGTTATATCCTCATTGGAATTTAAAATTTCGTTAGCCAAACCAGTAGCCCATAACATATCCACAAATTTTCCACCACCTATTTCTCTGGCTTTTGATAGTATATTTGATTTTTCTTAAAAATAAAAAGAACACAAATAATAAGGATTCTTTGAAATAAGAATTTATTTTGAATTTATTTGGACAGAACTAGTAGAAACACAATAACAAACCATTATAATTGAAAATTGACGTCAAGGTTTTCTCTACAGCTTTTGATTTACAATCAAACTCAGGAAATACTCCTAATCTGTGAAGAGATGGCTGAAACTCAGATAAAATGTGACGAAGATTTTTGTGATATTTTAAGATCATCTAAATAAAAGAAGTAAAACTAAATAAGCTAAAAAAAACAACATATTTAAATATTTTAACTATGTTTAAAATTAAATTTAGTTTAACAATATTTAAAAATCAGATAAAAATTATCAGTCAAATGTGAAAGTAAAAAGTTTTTACTTAATATTATTTTTTGATAGATGTGTAATTCTGAGGATGATTTGTAAAATAAATCTGTTTTACATAAAATTAATAACAATAATTATTTTAAAACTACTGTTAAATGTATTACTGACAAATGTGTAGCTCTCACATCATCATTAAAAGAATCTTTAAATTGAAAATAAACCAACCAACCTCTAAGGAATCAGTGTTTTGTAAAAATTTAACAATCCAATCTTTATCCATGCCAGATTGCAATAAATTAAGAGCAATTTGTATATCTTTGTCTAATGGATGCAAGTTCTAAAACAAAAGTAAATCAATTAAGAATAACACCAAAAATAAATCAAATATAAACAAATCTAAAATCTATGATCATTAACAATAACTTACTACTTTGATGCAATGTCCCTCAGTTAAATTTGATCCTATGATTAATCAGACAAATATTTATATTCATATATATATATATATATATATATATATATATATATATATATATATATATATATATATATATATATATATATATATATATATATATATATATATATATATATATATATATATATATATATATATATATATATATATATATATATATATATATATATATATATATATATATATATATATAAATATATATATATATATATATATTTTATATATATATATATTATATATATATATATATATATATATATATATATATATATATATATATATATATATATATATATATATATATATATATATATATATATATATATATATATATATATATATATATATAATGAAGCAATTAAAAAAAGGATAAAAAATGTTGCATTAAGGAAAATAAAATAAAATTTGAAAGTTGGAAAATTAGGAAATAATATGTCATTTGATTTACAACCATGATAAAATTTGGTATATATATAAATATATAAAAAAACTTTTTTCAATCATTTCTCAAAAAAATTGTAGAAAAAAGAAACAACAAGTTAATTTATTTTTTCTTGAAGATGGCATTAATATTGATGTAATATACTTAGATCTCAGAAAAGCATTCTGTTTGGAAGCAAAGACTATAATCTAAAAATAGACTTTTTAGGAGTAGAAAATGACATTCTAGCACGATGTGAAAGCTTGCTAAGTAATGAATATCAAATTGAGAGTTTATTTTGAAATGAAAATTATTTAAAATTTTTAATTAAAATTAGTTTAAATAGTTTTTAAACTAGTGTTTCTTAGGCCCATTCGTTATTCTTATCAACAACCTATTTGCTATATGCAAAGATAACTACTTGAAGTCATTAAATCAAGACTAAACAAGGATATATAATTCAAAACAATATCAAGTTATTAAAAGAATAGATGAATGACTGGATTATTAAGTTCAATGAACAAAAGTGTACTTTGAACTTTATTTTTAGTATTTTGATTTCATTTCAAAGGCAATGCACATGAAATGAATTTAAAGTACTAGAAAAAGTTCATAATAAATTCACACAAATTTATCACCTAAAAGAACTTAATAGTTACAAGAAGATCTTGGCAATAAATTTATCAATGATAGAAGAAAGATAAAACAGAAGAAATATATAAATGTTAGATTCAAAATTCATAATATTATTTTGCTTTCATAGTTAATTTGAAGTAGAAAAAAATAAATTTAAATAAAACTTTTAACTTAAATTTGCAACATTTTGGACTAATTTTTAGCAATAACTTTGAAATGCTATAAAATAAAACCAATTTCACAAATTAAAAAAAAAATCTGTATTATACTATATATGTTATGTTACTTAATTATTGAAAAAAAAGAAAAGAAAAGAAAATGTGAATATTTATTTGTTAGTGTTTTGCTTTAAACTAAAAACAGTTCTAAGTTGTGTGAAAATATATTCTTTCATTGAGAAACAAAGTGATTGCAAAAAATATCCATTCAAAATTTAAGTTTATAAATTTGTTTAAACTTGTTATACTACATTGTTTACAGAATCGTACAATGTCTGTGGGCTTACAGAATCGTACAATGTCTGTGGGCTTACAGAATTGTACAATGTCTGTGGGCTTACAGAATTGTACAATGTCTGTGGGCTTACAGAATCGTACAATGTCTGTGGGCTTACAGAATCGTACAATGTCTGTGGGCTTACAGAATCGTACAATGTCAATGTCTTAGGCTCTTTCTTCTAGTGATGGTAACACTAACAATAAAACAATGGCAGATCATTTATTTACACCAAATGAAAGAGAGAGTCAATCTAATCTGTAATTTGTTAGACCGAGTTCAGCATACTCCTAAGCATTAATCAGCCTGTTGATGCTAACAAAAAAGGTTGTTTTTAATAAAGTTAAAGTTGAATTGATGATACTCTAAAAACTGACGTTTTTATGAGCTATGTTTAGCTCCAGAGTGCATCAAACATTTACTGCAGACTCAAGATAAGAACACACCAATGATTGCCAGTAATTTTTTTTTTTGCAATGTATTAAATGTGGGAAACACAGGGACAAGAAGGTTTAAAGTAGATGTGGAAAACACAGGGAGGGTGTAAAGTAGAAGTGAACAATGTTTCATTGTGCCTTAGATAAAGGTGGAGAGGTTAAGGCCATCGCTCTTGACATTTCTAAAACTTTTGATGAAATTTGGCATGCTGGTCTTCTCCATAAGCTTTCTTCTTATGGTGTATCAGGTAACATCTTTAGGATAATTGAATTCTTCCTTTCCAATTGTGGTATGAAAGTTGCCCTTAATGGACAGCACTCTTCTTCATATTTTGTAATTTCAGAGGTTCCTCAAGGTTCAATCCATGACCCTATACTCTTTTTAATTTACATTAACAATCTTCCAGATATTCTCTCATCTAAGGTGGCATTGTTTGCTAATGATACTACCATTTATTCTTGTCATGATAAGAAGCCAAAACTCTCTGATTGTTTGGAGGAAGCACTTGAGATTGGAAAGGATCTCATCTCTGCTACAGCATGGGGCTCACAGTGGCTGGTGAACTTTAATTCAGATAAAACTCAATTTTTTTCAGCCAATCGTTATTGCAATAATTTAGATCTTCCCATACTTTTGAACAGTAATGTACTTGATGAGTCATCTACCTTTTATCTTCTAGGATTAACTCTTACTTCCGATCTTTCTTGGAAACCATATATCAAATCCATTGTAAAATTAGCATCTGCTAAAGTTGCATCTCTTTATCAAGCTCGACACTTTCTTATTCTGGATTCTATTCCCTACTTCTTTAAATCTCAAATCCGGCCTTGTATGGAATACTGTTGGCATTTCTGGGGCAGATATTCTAATGATGCCCTTTTTCTTTTAGACAAGGTGCAAAAATGCATTGTAAACATAGTTGGACCTGCTCTTGCAGTCAACCTTCAACCATTATCACATCCTCGTAATGTTGCTTCTCTTTCTCTTTTCTACAAATACTTTAATGGGCATGGGTAAAGAGCTAAAGTCTTTTGTGCCATCTAATAAAATTCATTTTCGAGTTACTCGTCATTCAATTAAGTCTCATCCTTTTTCTGTGATTATTCCTAAATGCTCCAAAAACTCTTATTCGTCTAGTTTTTTTTCTTGAACATCAGTTCTTTGAAATTCGTTTCCTTCATCTTGCTTTCCTGATTCATATTGTTTGCAATCTTTTAAGTTGTTTATCAATCCTTATTAAGTTGTTTATCAATCTTTCATCATTTCTCTTCCATTAACTTCTAACTATAATAGTGGTTGTTTGCAGCCTTATTGGAAGAGAAGATGTTAAAAAAAAAAAAAAAAAATCTAAATGGTAAAATTTAATTTTTTAACTTTTAAGTGACTATATCTTTACAAGAAAAGAAAAAAAAAAATAAAAGGCCAGAAAGAGAGTAGCAACACTCTAAAAAGCCAAAAATTCACTGTCAATTCAAAGTTGAACAAAATTAGATTAAACATGACAAAAAAGTAGTGTGCAATTTTAAATTTGCTAGTATAGGTCAAGATTTAAAATATACTATCTTTTTAACATTTTAAATGTTTTTTGAACTTATTTACCTTTTGTAAGTGTTGATTGGTTGATACCAGAAGTGGTGTTAGAAGGAGTAAGTATCGATTGGTTTATATTGGAGATGTTAGATAAATCTAAAAAAAAAAATCTTTTAAAATAACTTAACAAAAATTAATTTATAAACAATAAAAGTGATAAAAAAAAAAAAAAATAAAAACTTTACAAAATAAGGGGAAACCATATTTTAGACAAATAATGACACCCTAAATTTTAAACAAATAACAATGACACCCAAATTTTAGACAAATAATAATGACACCCTTTATTTTAGACAAATAATTATTATTAAATTTTATACAAATAAATATTACTTAATTATTATATAAAAATCTTTTTTAATTTTAAATCTTTTTTAAATGTTAGTTTATAGGTTTATACCTTTACAGTTAAAGTAACAGTAAAATATACAAAACATTAGAGAAGTTATACTAAATGTTAAAAACCATTTAAGTGATGCAAGCCTTAAAGATATGTATTTATGCTTTGAGTCCAATATTTATTTTTAAACATACTGCTGTATTTTAAACTAATCTGACAAACTGTTTGGGGTTTGCTTTTTAAATCCAACTTGATTTCTTGACTGTTATAAACTATAGCGAATATTTTAGTTTATTTGCAATTAGCTACTTAATTCTAAATGTAAGGTTACTTTTTCATAATCATTGTTTAAACATTGTTTACTTTTTCTGAAACATTGTCTTTACTGTAGTATCTACATTAATATGATAATTTATATATATATATATATATATATATATATATATATATATATATATATATATATATATATATATCTTTAATTATGTTTTTAATAGTTGAGCCTAAAGATTAATATAATTTTCAATGTTAATCAAAAGCTAAAGGGGGCCATAAAGAGATTAATAACATTAAAAAATAATTAAGTATATCTATTGTTTATTCATTTTCTTAATGAAGATAGCAGACAATGCTATGATATGTCAAAAATGACAGCTAATGATGTGTCAAAAATGACAGCCAATGGCAAATGTAAGTATCAACTTTTCAATTGGATTGTCTGTTTGTAAATTGATATTGATATAAAATATTTTTTATCATATTCTGCATTGTTGCATATTGTTATTAAAACCACTTTATTTACTAGGCTATCTAATTTATTTAACAGGCTATCCAACTTATGAACTAGGCTATTTAACTTATTTACTTATCTTTGTTACTAGGCTATCAAGCCTATTTACTTATTTATTATGCTATTAAAATTTTCTTGATATTTTCTTTTTAATTTACCTCACTAATGATTTGAGGAGTTATATATATATATATATATATATATATATATATATATATATATATATATATATATATATATATATATATATATATATATATATATATATATATATATATATGTATATATATATTACTACTTTTTATATATATATATATATACTACTTTTATATATATATACTACTTTATATATATATACTACTTTTTATATATATATATATATATATATATATATATATATATATATATATATATATATATATATATATATATATATATATATATATATATATATATATATATGTATATATATATTACTACTTTTTTTAACTAATAATTTTTTTAACTATGTTTTAATTTTAACTTTCTTTATTATTTAATTTTAACTTCAGCTTTATCTTTTAAGCTTATTATTGCGATATAAATATTTAACTAAACATCTAACATTTGAAAAACTTTCAATTAAACCCAAATATTGGGGAGACTTTAGATATTTCAAAGACTTATGTAAAATATTAGTATATATGTAAATTATTAATAAATTAATCTTCATAAAATATAGATAAAAAAATCTTCATAAAAACTAGAGCTGGTTTTAACGCTGAACTTAATGCAAATAAACTAGAAAAAGATGATGATCCAAAAAAAAAAAAAAAACTAGATAATGTAGAAGACCCAAATAAGGATGAAGAAAGCAAGCCTTGAAAAAAAAACAAAGAAGATAAATCATTATAAAACATTATCTAACACCATATTGAACATGCCATAATTTATAAATAATGTATAAGCTAAGCCATAAAGAAAAAATAACTGTTAATCTTCTAACGAATCAACTTTTTTATATATATAATATACACATAAATGTAAAACAATTAATAACTTAACATATAATTAAAATTTAGTTCAAAATTAAAAAAACATACACCTTCATGAAAATGCTGTCTTCATCCTTTTAACAGTGAATAAGTTAAATATTACAACATACAACAAGAACTTTGAAAATAATATTTATAGGCAAAACTTTAATATTTAAAGTAATCAAAAGCAACAATTACTGAATTCATTTTACCAAACCATAAAAGTGTTATATAACTATAGCAAAAAGTGGATCAAAAATTAAGGTTTTCTAACACAAATAGTGCATAAATTAAATTCTATATCTAGATTAATTTGTTAAAAAAAAACAAAAAAAAAATAAAATAGCTAAACAAAAATAATTAGTCATTTTGCAAAACCATTGAGTTCAATCAAAGATTTATATCTTCATTTTTTTTTTTCATATGCTTATTTTTTAATCTTCCTTATATCTTTTTTTGAATCTATTAAATCTTTGCAACACTATAACCTTATAAGGACGCTTATCAAATGGATATATACTCTCGATTGGCGACATATGTTAACAAGATTACAAAATTAAAAACACACAGGTATAAGTAATATAAAAAACAAACAAGAAAATGAAACATAAACTCAATAAAACTGATTTGATGAAACGATAGATGTAAAAATCATACCTCCGTCATGCACTCCCTGCACAAAACCTTTCAACTCATTGGCAGTGTCATTTTCAGAGTATTTCGAAAGTTTGGATCCAGGAATATTTTTATTAAAATCGTCGCCTACATCATCAAGCCCAATGATTATTGTCTTCACATTATTTTCCTCTAACAATTTTCCATAACGTTCAGGAACAACTGGCGGATAGTTAGAAGATGGTTTTCCAACAACAAAAAGTACCAACACTCTTTGCTTCTTCTTTAGCTTTTCATCGTTGTTTCTTATTTTGAAAATATTTTCTGAAGCAACAGTAATAGCTGAAGCAACATTTTGCCTTCTACCATTGTTGACAATCTTATCTAAAATCTCACTATTGAATTTAGAAGTGAGCTCCGAATTTACATTAGCAATGTCAGAGTATGTGATCAATCCTAATTCATTTGATTTCGATGGTAGATGATAATCGATAAGAGATCTAATTGCCTTCTTCTGTTTCTGAAGGATTTCCTCTGAAGAGGATGACAAATCCATCGCAAACACCATATCAACATTAAACGCCCTGCCCTCAGCTGAGCATAAAAAACAAATGATAAAATTAAAAATAAACAACTACCATGAGAGAATCTATAAATATACAAATAAACTTACATAACCAAATAAACATGCTTAAAAACATTTTAAATATTAAAAAACGTTTGCCTTTGTAAATCTATGCATAAAAGTTTTTCTCATACATATGTTCAATATTCGTTTATATAGATCATCTTTTCAAACTTTTTAAATTAATTTTTTGCTTTTATTTGTAAAAATACAAAACTAAATTTAAAAATCAAAGATTTATATCTTCTTTTTTTTTCTTCTTTCTTTTTATATGCGTATTTTTTAATCTTTTTTATATCTTTTTTTTTTATTTTTTTAGATCTTTGCAACACTATAACCTTATAAGGACGCTTATCAAATGGATATATACTCTCGATTGGCGACATATGTTAACAAGATTACAAAATTAAAAACACACAGGTATAAGTAATATAAAAAACAAACAAGAAAATGAAACATAAACTCAATAAAACTGATTTGATGAAACGATAGATGTAAAAATCATACCTCCGTCATGCACTCCCTGCACAAAACCTTTCAACTCATTGGCAGTGTCATTTTCAGAGTATTTCGAAAGTTTGGATCCAGGAATATTTTTATTAAAATCGTCGCCTACATCATCAAGCCCAATGATTATTGTCTTCACATTATTTTCCTCTAACAATTTTCCATAACGTTCAGGAACAACTGGCGGATAGTTAGAAGATGGTTTTCCAACAACAAAAAGTACCAACACTCTTTGCTTCTTCTTTAGCTTTTCATCGTTGTTTCTTATTTTGAAAATATTTTCTGAAGCAACAGTAATAGCTGAAGCAACATTTTGCCTTCTACCATTGTTGACAATCTTATCTAAAATCTCACTATTGAATTTAGAAGTGAGCTCCGAATTTACATTAGCAATGTCAGAGTATGTGATCAATCCTAATTCATTTGATTTCGATGGTAGATGATAATCGATAAGAGATCTAATTGCCTTCTTCTGTTTCTGAAGGATTTCCTCTGAAGAGGATGACAAATCCATCGCAAACACCATATCAACATTAAACGCCCTGCCCTCAGCTGAGCATAAAAAACAAATGATAAAATTAAAAATAAACAACTACCATGAGAGAATCTATAAATATACAAATAAACTTACATAACCAAATAAACATGCTTAAAAACATTTTAAATATTAAAAAACGTTTGCCTTTGTAAATCTATGCATAAAAGTTTTTCTCATACATATGTTCAATATTCGTTTATATAGATCATCTTTTCAAACTTTTTAAATTAATTTTTTGCTTTTATTTGTAAAAATACAAAACTAAATTTAAAAATCAAAGATTTATATCTTCTTTTTTTTTCTTCTTTCTTTTTATATGCGTATTTTTTAATCTTTTTTATATCTTTTTTTTTTATTTTTTTAGATCTTTGCAACACTATAACCTTATAAGGACGCTTATCAAATGGATATATACTCTCGATTGGCGACATATGTTAACAAGATTACAAAATTAAAAACACACAGGTATAAGTAATATAAAAAACAAACAAGAAAATGAAACATAAACTCAATAAAACTGATTTGATGAAACGATAGATGTAAAAATCATACCTCCGTCATGCACTCCCTGCACAAAACCTTTCAACTCATTGGCAGTGTCATTTTCAGAGTATTTCGAAAGTTTGGATCCAGGAATATTTTTATTAAAATCGTCGCCTACATCATCAAGCCCAATGATTATTGTCTTCACATTATTTTCCTCTAACAATTTTCCATAACGTTCAGGAACAACTGGCGGATAGTTAGAAGATGGTTTTCCAACAACAAAAAGTACCAACACTCTTTGCTTCTTCTTTAGCTTTTCATCGTTGTTTCTTATTTTGAAAATATTTTCTGAAGCAACAGTAATAGCTGAAGCAACATTTTGCCTTCTACCATTGTTGACAATCTTATCTAAAATCTCACTATTGAATTTAGAAGTGAGCTCCGAATTTACATTAGCAATGTCAGAGTATGTGATCAATCCTAATTCATTTGATTTCGATGGTAGATGATAATCGATAAGAGATCTAATTGCCTTCTTCTGTTTCTGAAGGATTTCCTCTGAAGAGGATGACAAATCCATCGCAAACACCATATCAACATTAAACGCCCTGCCCTCAGCTGAGCATAAAAAACAAATGATAAAATTAAAAATAAACAACTACCATGAGAGAATCTATAAATATACAAATAAACTTACATAACCAAATAAACATGCTTAAAAACATTTTAAATATTAAAAAACGTTTGCCTTTGTAAATCTATGCATAAAAGTTTTTCTCATACATATGTTCAATATTCGTTTATATAGATCATCTTTTCAAACTTTTTAAATTAATTTTTTGCTTTTATTTGTAAAAATACAAAACTAAATTTAAAAATCAAAGATTTATATCTTCTTTTTTTTTCTTCTTTCTTTTTATATGCGTATTTTTTAATCTTTTTTATATCTTTTTTTTTTATTTTTTTAGATCTTTGCAACACTATAACCTTATAAGGACGCTTATCAAATGGATATATACTCTCGATTGGCGACATATGTTAACAAGATTACAAAATTAAAAACACACAGGTATAAGTAATATAAAAAACGAACAAGAAAATGAAACATAAACTCAATAAAACTGATTTGATGAAACGATAGATGTAAAAATCATACCTCCGTCATGCACTCCCTGCACAAAACCTTTCAACTCATTGGCAGTGTCATTTTCAGAGTATTTCGAAAGTTTGGATCCAGGAATATTTTTATTAAAATCGTCGCCTACATCATCAAGCCCAATGATTATTGTCTTCACATTATTTTCCTCTAACAATTTTCCATAACGTTCAGGAACAACTGGCGGATAGTTAGAAGATGGTTTTCCAACAACAAAAAGTACCAACACTCTTTGCTTCTTCTTTAGCTTTTCATCGTTGTTTCTTATTTTGAAAATATTTTCTGAAGCAACAGTAATAGCTGAAGCAACATTTTGCCTTCTACCATTGTTGACAATCTTATCTAAAATCTCACTATTGAATTTAGAAGTGAGCTCCGAATTTACATTAGCAATGTCAGAGTATGTGATCAATCCTAATTCATTTGATTTCGATGGTAGATGATAATCGATAAGAGATCTAATTGCCTTCTTCTGTTTCTGAAGGATTTCCTCTGAAGAGGATGACAAATCCATCGCAAACACCATATCAACATTAAACGCCCTGCCCTCAGCTGAGCATAAAAAACAAATGATAAAATTAAAAATAAACAACTACCATGAGAGAATCTATAAATATACAAATAAACTTACATAACCAAATAAACATGCTTAAAAACATTTTAAATATTAAAAAACGTTTGCCTTTGTAAATCTATGCATAAAAGTTTTTCTCATACATATGTTCAATATTCGTTTATATAGATCATCTTTTCAAACTTTTTAAATTAATTTTTTGCTTTTATTTGTAAAAATACAAAACTAAATTTAAAAATCAAAGATTTATATCTTCTTTTTTTTTCTTCTTTCTTTTTATATGCGTATTTTTTAATCTTTTTTATATCTTTTTTTTTTATTTTTTTAGATCTTTGCAACACTATAACCTTATAAGGACGCTTATCAAATGGATATATACTCTCGATTGGCGACATATGTTAACAAGATTACAAAATTAAAAACACACAGGTATAAGTAATATAAAAAACAAACAAGAAAATGAAACATAAACTCAATAAAACTGATTTGATGAAACGATAGATGTAAAAATCATACCTCCGTCATGCACTCCCTGCACAAAACCTTTCAACTCATTGGCAGTGTCATTTTCAGAGTATTTCGAAAGTTTGGATCCAGGAATATTTTTATTAAAATCGTCGCCTACATCATCAAGCCCAATGATTATTGTCTTCACATTATTTTCCTCTAACAATTTTCCATAACGTTCAGGAACAACTGGCGGATAGTTAGAAGATGGTTTTCCAACAACAAAAAGTACCAACACTCTTTGCTTCTTCTTTAGCTTTTCATCGTTGTTTCTTATTTTGAAAATATTTTCTGAAGCAACAGTAATAGCTGAAGCAACATTTTGCCTTCTACCATTGTTGACAATCTTATCTAAAATCTCACTATTGAATTTAGAAGTGAGCTCCGAATTTACATTAGCAATGTCAGAGTATGTGATCAATCCTAATTCATTTGATTTCGATGGTAGATGATAATCGATAAGAGATCTAATTGCCTTCTTCTGTTTCTGAAGGATTTCCTCTGAAGAGGATGACAAATCCATCGCAAACACCATATCAACATTAAACGCCCTGCCCTCAGCTGAGCATAAAAAACAAATGATAAAATTAAAAATAAACAACTACCATGAGAGAATCTATAAATATACAAATAAACTTACATAACCAAATAAACATGCTTAAAAACATTTTAAATATTAAAAAACGTTTGCCTTTGTAAATCTATGCATAAAAGTTTTTCTCATACATATGTTCAATATTCGTTTATATAGATCATCTTTTCAAACTTTTTAAATTAATTTTTTGCTTTTATTTGTAAAAATACAAAACTAAATTTAAAAATCAAAGATTTATATCTTCTTTTTTTTTCTTCTTTCTTTTTATATGCGTATTTTTTAATCTTTTTTATATCTTTTTTTTTTATTTTTTTAGATCTTTGCAACACTATAACCTTATAAGGACGCTTATCAAATGGATATATACTCTCGATTGGCGACATATGTTAACAAGATTACAAAATTAAAAACACACAGGTATAAGTAATATAAAAAACAAACAAGAAAATGAAACATAAACTCAATAAAACTGATTTGATGAAACGATAGATGTAAAAATCATACCTCCGTCATGCACTCCCTGCACAAAACCTTTCAACTCATTGGCAGTGTCATTTTCAGAGTATTTCGAAAGTTTGGATCCAGGAATATTTTTATTAAAATCGTCGCCTACATCATCAAGCCCAATGATTATTGTCTTCACATTATTTTCCTCTAACAATTTTCCATAACGTTCAGGAACAACTGGCGGATAGTTAGAAGATGGTTTTCCAACAACAAAAAGTACCAACACTCTTTGCTTCTTCTTTAGCTTTTCATCGTTGTTTCTTATTTTGAAAATATTTTCTGAAGCAACAGTAATAGCTGAAGCAACATTTTGCCTTCTACCATTGTTGACAATCTTATCTAAAATCTCACTATTGAATTTAGAAGTGAGCTCCGAATTTACATTAGCAATGTCAGAGTATGTGATCAATCCTAATTCATTTGATTTCGATGGTAGATGATAATCGATAAGAGATCTAATTGCCTTCTTCTGTTTCTGAAGGATTTCCTCTGAAGAGGATGACAAATCCATCGCAAACACCATATCAACATTAAACGCCCTGCCCTCAGCTGAGCATAAAAAACAAATGATAAAATTAAAAATAAACAACTACCATGAGAGAATCTATAAATATACAAATAAACTTACATAACCAAATAAACATGCTTAAAAACATTTTAAATATTAAAAAACGTTTGCCTTTGTAAATCTATGCATAAAAGTTTTTCTCATACATATGTTCAATATTCGTTTATATAGATCATCTTTTCAAACTTTTTAAATTAATTTTTTGCTTTTATTTGTAAAAATACAAAACTAAATTTAAAAATCAAAGATTTATATCTTCTTTTTTTTTCTTCTTTCTTTTTATATGCGTATTTTTTAATCTTTTTTATATCTTTTTTTTTTATTTTTTTAGATCTTTGCAACACTATAACCTTATAAGGACGCTTATCAAATGGATATATACTCTCGATTGGCGACATATGTTAACAAGATTACAAAATTAAAAACACACAGGTATAAGTAATATAAAAAACAAACAAGAAAATGAAACATAAACTCAATAAAACTGATTTGATGAAACGATAGATGTAAAAATCATACCTCCGTCATGCACTCCCTGCACAAAACCTTTCAACTCATTGGCAGTGTCATTTTCAGAGTATTTCGAAAGTTTGGATCCAGGAATATTTTTATTAAAATCGTCGCCTACATCATCAAGCCCAATGATTATTGTCTTCACATTATTTTCCTCTAACAATTTTCCATAACGTTCAGGAACAACTGGCGGATAGTTAGAAGATGGTTTTCCAACAACAAAAAGTACCAACACTCTTTGCTTCTTCTTTAGCTTTTCATCGTTGTTTCTTATTTTGAAAATATTTTCTGAAGCAACAGTAATAGCTGAAGCAACATTTTGCCTTCTACCATTGTTGACAATCTTATCTAAAATCTCACTATTGAATTTAGAAGTGAGCTCCGAATTTACATTAGCAATGTCAGAGTATGTGATCAATCCTAATTCATTTGATTTCGATGGTAGATGATAATCGATAAGAGATCTAATTGCCTTCTTCTGTTTCTGAAGGATTTCCTCTGAAGAGGATGACAAATCCATCGCAAACACCATATCAACATTAAACGCCCTGCCCTCAGCTGAGCATAAAAAACAAATGATAAAATTAAAAATAAACAACTACCATGAGAGAATCTATAAATATACAAATAAACTTACATAACCAAATAAACATGCTTAAAAACATTTTAAATATTAAAAAACGTTTGCCTTTGTAAATCTATGCATAAAAGTTTTTCTCATACATATGTTCAATATTCGTTTATATAGATCATCTTTTCAAACTTTTTAAATTAATTTTTTGCTTTTATTTGTAAAAATACAAAACTAAATTTAAAAATCAAAGATTTATATCTTCTTTTTTTTTCTTCTTTCTTTTTATATGCGTATTTTTTAATCTTTTTTATATCTTTTTTTTTTATTTTTTTAGATCTTTGCAACACTATAACCTTATAAGGACGCTTATCAAATGGATATATACTCTCGATTGGCGACATATGTTAACAAGATTACAAAATTAAAAACACACAGGTATAAGTAATATAAAAAACAAACAAGAAAATGAAACATAAACTCAATAAAACTGATTTGATGAAACGATAGATGTAAAAATCATACCTCCGTCATGCACTCCCTGCACAAAACCTTTCAACTCATTGGCAGTGTCATTTTCAGAGTATTTCGAAAGTTTGGATCCAGGAATATTTTTATTAAAATCGTCGCCTACATCATCAAGCCCAATGATTATTGTCTTCACATTATTTTCCTCTAACAATTTTCCATAACGTTCAGGAACAACTGGCGGATAGTTAGAAGATGGTTTTCCAACAACAAAAAGTACCAACACTCTTTGCTTCTTCTTTAGCTTTTCATCGTTGTTTCTTATTTTGAAAATATTTTCTGAAGCAACAGTAATAGCTGAAGCAACATTTTGCCTTCTACCATTGTTGACAATCTTATCTAAAATCTCACTATTGAATTTAGAAGTGAGCTCCGAATTTACATTAGCAATGTCAGAGTATGTGATCAATCCTAATTCATTTGATTTCGATGGTAGATGATAATCGATAAGAGATCTAATTGCCTTCTTCTGTTTCTGAAGGATTTCCTCTGAAGAGGATGACAAATCCATCGCAAACACCATATCAACATTAAACGCCCTGCCCTCAGCTGAGCATAAAAAACAAATGATAAAATTAAAAATAAACAACTACCATGAGAGAATCTATAAATATACAAATAAACTTACATAACCAAATAAACATGCTTAAAAACATTTTAAATATTAAAAAACGTTTGCCTTTGTAAATCTATGCATAAAAGTTTTTCTCATACATATGTTCAATATTCGTTTATATAGATCATCTTTTCAAACTTTTTAAATTAATTTTTTGCTTTTATTTGTAAAAATACAAAACTAAATTTAAAAATCAAAGATTTATATCTTCTTTTTTTTTCTTCTTTCTTTTTATATGCGTATTTTTTAATCTTTTTTATATCTTTTTTTTTTATTTTTTTAGATCTTTGCAACACTATAACCTTATAAGGACGCTTATCAAATGGATATATACTCTCGATTGGCGACATATGTTAACAAGATTACAAAATTAAAAACACACAGGTATAAGTAATATAAAAAACAAACAAGAAAATGAAACATAAACTCAATAAAACTGATTTGATGAAACGATAGATGTAAAAATCATACCTCCGTCATGCACTCCCTGCACAAAACCTTTCAACTCATTGGCAGTGTCATTTTCAGAGTATTTCGAAAGTTTGGATCCAGGAATATTTTTATTAAAATCGTCGCCTACATCATCAAGCCCAATGATTATTGTCTTCACATTATTTTCCTCTAACAATTTTCCATAACGTTCAGGAACAACTGGCGGATAGTTAGAAGATGGTTTTCCAACAACAAAAAGTACCAACACTCTTTGCTTCTTCTTTAGCTTTTCATCGTTGTTTCTTATTTTGAAAATATTTTCTGAAGCAACAGTAATAGCTGAAGCAACATTTTGCCTTCTACCATTGTTGACAATCTTATCTAAAATCTCACTATTGAATTTAGAAGTGAGCTCCGAATTTACATTAGCAATGTCAGAGTATGTGATCAATCCTAATTCATTTGATTTCGATGGTAGATGATAATCGATAAGAGATCTAATTGCCTTCTTCTGTTTCTGAAGGATTTCCTCTGAAGAGGATGACAAATCCATCGCAAACACCATATCAACATTAAACGCCCTGCCCTCAGCTGAGCATAAAAAACAAATGATAAAATTAAAAATAAACAACTACCATGAGAGAATCTATAAATATACAAATAAACTTACATAACCAAATAAACATGCTTAAAAACATTTTAAATATTAAAAAACGTTTGCCTTTGTAAATCTATGCATAAAAGTTTTTCTCATACATATGTTCAATATTCGTTTATATAGATCATCTTTTCAAACTTTTTAAATTAATTTTTTGCTTTTATTTGTAAAAATACAAAACTAAATTTAAAAATCAAAGATTTATATCTTCTTTTTTTTTCTTCTTTCTTTTTATATGCGTATTTTTTAATCTTTTTTATATCTTTTTTTTTTATTTTTTTAGATCTTTGCAACACTATAACCTTATAAGGACGCTTATCAAATGGATATATACTCTCGATTGGCGACATATGTTAACAAGATTACAAAATTAAAAACACACAGGTATAAGTAATATAAAAAACAAACAAGAAAATGAAACATAAACTCAATAAAACTGATTTGATGAAACGATAGATGTAAAAATCATACCTCCGTCATGCACTCCCTGCACAAAACCTTTCAACTCATTGGCAGTGTCATTTTCAGAGTATTTCGAAAGTTTGGATCCAGGAATATTTTTATTAAAATCGTCGCCTACATCATCAAGCCCAATGATTATTGTCTTCACATTATTTTCCTCTAACAATTTTCCATAACGTTCAGGAACAACTGGCGGATAGTTAGAAGATGGTTTTCCAACAACAAAAAGTACCAACACTCTTTGCTTCTTCTTTAGCTTTTCATCGTTGTTTCTTATTTTGAAAATATTTTCTGAAGCAACAGTAATAGCTGAAGCAACATTTTGCCTTCTACCATTGTTGACAATCTTATCTAAAATCTCACTATTGAATTTAGAAGTGAGCTCCGAATTTACATTAGCAATGTCAGAGTATGTGATCAATCCTAATTCATTTGATTTCGATGGTAGATGATAATCGATAAGAGATCTAATTGCCTTCTTCTGTTTCTGAAGGATTTCCTCTGAAGAGGATGACAAATCCATCGCAAACACCATATCAACATTAAACGCCCTGCCCTCAGCTGAGCATAAAAAACAAATGATAAAATTAAAAATAAACAACTACCATGAGAGAATCTATAAATATACAAATAAACTTACATAACCAAATAAACATGCTTAAAAACATTTTAAATATTAAAAAACGTTTGCCTTTGTAAATCTATGCATAAAAGTTTTTCTCATACATATGTTCAATATTCGTTTATATAGATCATCTTTTCAAACTTTTTAAATTAATTTTTTGCTTTTATTTGTAAAAATACAAAACTAAATTTAAAAATCAAAGATTTATATCTTCTTTTTTTTTCTTCTTTCTTTTTATATGCGTATTTTTTAATCTTTTTTATATCTTTTTTTTTTATTTTTTTAGATCTTTGCAACACTATAACCTTATAAGGACGCTTATCAAATGGATATATACTCTCGATTGGCGACATATGTTAACAAGATTACAAAATTAAAAACACACAGGTATAAGTAATATAAAAAACAAACAAGAAAATGAAACATAAACTCAATAAAACTGATTTGATGAAACGATAGATGTAAAAATCATACCTCCGTCATGCACTCCCTGCACAAAACCTTTCAACTCATTGGCAGTGTCATTTTCAGAGTATTTCGAAAGTTTGGATCCAGGAATATTTTTATTAAAATCGTCGCCTACATCATCAAGCCCAATGATTATTGTCTTCACATTATTTTCCTCTAACAATTTTCCATAACGTTCAGGAACAACTGGCGGATAGTTAGAAGATGGTTTTCCAACAACAAAAAGTACCAACACTCTTTGCTTCTTCTTTAGCTTTTCATCGTTGTTTCTTATTTTGAAAATATTTTCTGAAGCAACAGTAATAGCTGAAGCAACATTTTGCCTTCTACCATTGTTGACAATCTTATCTAAAATCTCACTATTGAATTTAGAAGTGAGCTCCGAATTTACATTAGCAATGTCAGAGTATGTGATCAATCCTAATTCATTTGATTTCGATGGTAGATGATAATCGATAAGAGATCTAATTGCCTTCTTCTGTTTCTGAAGGATTTCCTCTGAAGAGGATGACAAATCCATCGCAAACACCATATCAACATTAAACGCCCTGCCCTCAGCTGAGCATAAAAAACAAATGATAAAATTAAAAATAAACAACTACCATGAGAGAATCTATAAATATACAAATAAACTTACATAACCAAATAAACATGCTTAAAAACATTTTAAATATTAAAAAACGTTTGCCTTTGTAAATCTATGCATAAAAGTTTTTCTCATACATATGTTCAATATTCGTTTATATAGATCATCTTTTCAAACTTTTTAAATTAATTTTTTGCTTTTATTTGTAAAAATACAAAACTAAATTTAAAAATCAAAGATTTATATCTTCTTTTTTTTTCTTCTTTCTTTTTATATGCGTATTTTTTAATCTTTTTTATATCTTTTTTTTTTATTTTTTTAGATCTTTGCAACACTATAACCTTATAAGGACGCTTATCAAATGGATATATACTCTCGATTGGCGACATATGTTAACAAGATTACAAAATTAAAAACACACAGGTATAAGTAATATAAAAAACGAACAAGAAAATGAAACATAAACTCAATAAAACTGATTTGATGAAACGATAGATGTAAAAATCATACCTCCGTCATGCACTCCCTGCACAAAACCTTTCAACTCATTGGCAGTGTCATTTTCAGAGTATTTCGAAAGTTTGGATCCAGGAATATTTTTATTAAAATCGTCGCCTACATCATCAAGCCCAATGATTATTGTCTTCACATTATTTTCCTCTAACAATTTTCCATAACGTTCAGGAACAACTGGCGGATAGTTAGAAGATGGTTTTCCAACAACAAAAAGTACCAACACTCTTTGCTTCTTCTTTAGCTTTTCATCGTTGTTTCTTATTTTGAAAATATTTTCTGAAGCAACAGTAATAGCTGAAGCAACATTTTGCCTTCTACCATTGTTGACAATCTTATCTAAAATCTCACTATTGAATTTAGAAGTGAGCTCCGAATTTACATTAGCAATGTCAGAGTATGTGATCAATCCTAATTCATTTGATTTCGATGGTAGATGATAATCGATAAGAGATCTAATTGCCTTCTTCTGTTTCTGAAGGATTTCCTCTGAAGAGGATGACAAATCCATCGCAAACACCATATCAACATTAAACGCCCTGCCCTCAGCTGAGCATAAAAAACAAATGATAAAATTAAAAATAAACAACTACCATGAGAGAATCTATAAATATACAAATAAACTTACATAACCAAATAAACATGCTTAAAAACATTTTAAATATTAAAAAACGTTTGCCTTTGTAAATCTATGCATAAAAGTTTTTCTCATACATATGTTCAATATTCGTTTATATAGATCATCTTTTCAAACTTTTTAAATTAATTTTTTGCTTTTATTTGTAAAAATACAAAACTAAATTTAAAAATCAAAGATTTATATCTTCTTTTTTTTTCTTCTTTCTTTTTATATGCGTATTTTTTAATCTTTTTTATATCTTTTTTTTTTATTTTTTTAGATCTTTGCAACACTATAACCTTATAAGGACGCTTATCAAATGGATATATACTCTCGATTGGCGACATATGTTAACAAGATTACAAAATTAAAAACACACAGGTATAAGTAATATAAAAAACAAACAAGAAAATGAAACATAAACTCAATAAAACTGATTTGATGAAACGATAGATGTAAAAATCATACCTCCGTCATGCACTCCCTGCACAAAACCTTTCAACTCATTGGCAGTGTCATTTTCAGAGTATTTCGAAAGTTTGGATCCAGGAATATTTTTATTAAAATCGTCGCCTACATCATCAAGCCCAATGATTATTGTCTTCACATTATTTTCCTCTAACAATTTTCCATAACGTTCAGGAACAACTGGCGGATAGTTAGAAGATGGTTTTCCAACAACAAAAAGTACCAACACTCTTTGCTTCTTCTTTAGCTTTTCATCGTTGTTTCTTATTTTGAAAATATTTTCTGAAGCAACAGTAATAGCTGAAGCAACATTTTGCCTTCTACCATTGTTGACAATCTTATCTAAAATCTCACTATTGAATTTAGAAGTGAGCTCCGAATTTACATTAGCAATGTCAGAGTATGTGATCAATCCTAATTCATTTGATTTCGATGGTAGATGATAATCGATAAGAGATCTAATTGCCTTCTTCTGTTTCTGAAGGATTTCCTCTGAAGAGGATGACAAATCCATCGCAAACACCATATCAACATTAAACGCCCTGCCCTCAGCTGAGCATAAAAAACAAATGATAAAATTAAAAATAAACAACTACCATGAGAGAATCTATAAATATACAAATAAACTTACATAACCAAATAAACATGCTTAAAAACATTTTAAATATTAAAAAACGTTTGCCTTTGTAAATCTATGCATAAAAGTTTTTCTCATACATATGTTCAATATTCGTTTATATAGATCATCTTTTCAAACTTTTTAAATTAATTTTTTGCTTTTATTTGTAAAAATACAAAACTAAATTTAAAAATCAAAGATTTATATCTTCTTTTTTTTTCTTCTTTCTTTTTATATGCGTATTTTTTAATCTTTTTTATATCTTTTTTTTTTATTTTTTTAGATCTTTGCAACACTATAACCTTATAAGGACGCTTATCAAATGGATATATACTCTCGATTGGCGACATATGTTAACAAGATTACAAAATTAAAAACACACAGGTATAAGTAATATAAAAAACGAACAAGAAAATGAAACATAAACTCAATAAAACTGATTTGATGAAACGATAGATGTAAAAATCATACCTCCGTCATGCACTCCCTGCACAAAACCTTTCAACTCATTGGCAGTGTCATTTTCAGAGTATTTCGAAAGTTTGGATCCAGGAATATTTTTATTAAAATCGTCGCCTACATCATCAAGCCCAATGATTATTGTCTTCACATTATTTTCCTGTAACAATTTTCCATAACGTTCAGGAACAACTGGCGGATAGTTAGAAGATGGTTTTCCAACAACAAAAAGTACCAACACTCTTTGC